AGAGGGAAAAATCTTACCCAAGAACAAGAAAGCCCTCTATCGCAAATCTAAAAAATTTAACTGATTTCGATTTGGCCTACATCACTCCTAATACTATTCTCTACATTGTTGAAAGAAGCTATTTGCTGAAGCCTGTCCTCAACCCTTGCTTCTTAAATGAGCTTTTATATACTAAAAAATTGAATTTACATTTACATTTACTTTTACTTTTACTTTTACTATTACTTCTACTTATAAGTATATAATTAATTTGCAAAAAAAATTATATATATATATATATATTATATAAATAAGATTATACTTTAAACTTTTATGAGATATTCAGTAAATCATTTTTTTTTGTAACTCTTTTTCTTTTTTTTTGTTTTATCTTATCATTTATTTATTTTTTTTTATATTTATTTATTTTAGTTAGATTAACTATTGTAAATAACTAAATAGCAAAAAAATGAGAATAATAAAACAAATTAATCATAAAAGCATAAAAAAACAAATGAATCATAAAAGCATTAAAAAAAAGAAATCTAAAATAAATTATAATAATTTGCAAAGAAACAAAAAAGAGCCTTAGGAGGAGCTATCGGTATAGTAGTCGGACCTCTACTTAATGGAGCTATCCGATGAAGTGATGCAACATTGGAGCCTTTGGGAATTAATTTATATGCGAAAGAATATTAAATAATTTTTATTAGAGAAATTATAATCCTTATTTATTGATTTTTATTAAAACAAAAATTTTTTAGCTATTTTAACTTAAGTTCCATTTCATTTTTTAATTTTTTATTATTTGATATTTTTTCTTCATTTTTTTCTATTAAAACTTACACATAATTAAAGCAGTTTATTTGTTTTGCTTTGTAATAATATTGATTAGTTTTTGGAGTACTCGTAAGGTAGCCAAATGCCTCGTCGTTTAATTAGTGACGCGTATGAATGGATTAATGAGATTACCATTGTCCCTATCTACTATCTAGCGAACCCATAGCTAAGGGAACGGGTTTAGAATAATCAGCGGGGAAAGAAGACCCTGTTGAGCTTGACTCTAGTCTAACTTTGTGAAATGGCACGTGAGCAATAGATCTTGTAAAACCTTACACTGCCCATATAATCATTTTGCTTATTTCGTGAATTTTGAAAAAAATTATTGAGCAGCAAAGCAGCAAAGCAGCAAAAGCAGCAAAGCAACAAAAGCAGCAAAGCAACAAAAGCAGACAGAGCAGCAAAAGCAGAAAGAGCAAATAATATGTTTCAAGCAAAAAAGACCCTTCAACACTTTACAAAAAAACTTTTTCATCAAATTTTTTTATTAATATCTATTTTTACAACAAATTTTTTT